AAGTGGATGTCAGAACTTGTTCCTCTTCAGTGAGCTCCAACCAGGTCCAGGTATCATTGCAGGGAAGAGACCTTTACTGTTGGCATGGAACAATCTAACTTTTGGCTCCAACTATGCCCCTTCTCCTAGTCCTCCTTGCCCTGACTCTCTTTGGTGGTGGTGATTTTATTGTATGATGTACCTGGCCTGAGTGATTCAAGAACATCCTCATCTGATGAAGGTCCGCTACATCCTACAAAATCAAGAAGAGCTGGTTCAGTTTGTTTTGGTCCTTTATTTATGTACATGGCTTCCATCAAAAGAGTAGAATAAAATTCTTCAACCTCTGATGCCTCCGACAGACTTCCTTCATCAGATCAAAATAAAACGTTTAGGAGGAACTCTACTTCCTCTTGAGCCAGGACCTTCTTTTTAGTTACTGTGCTTTTTTTTTTCTTCCAGATTCCATTTCTAAAAGAAAAAAAATAAGACAGTTCCATACATTTTCTATTATGTATCATTAAATATTTTTATTCTATGATGTATATCATTTCTTTACACGTATAACAGGTTTCAGTAGCAGTACATGTTATGTTAAAATACAGAAACATTTACAACTATATTCTAAAACTATTGAACAGATTCCACATATATTATAAATAACCATTACTTATTCTAGGTAGGTAACTAATCATCGATGAATGCAGGCAATAACCTCACAAAACAGTAGTTTACTGAAAGAAATACATGTACTTTACAATACATTCTGCAATGTGTATCATAGCCTTCAGAATCAATACATGTTATGTTAAAATACAGAAACATTTACAACTATATTCTAAAACTACTGAACAGATTCCACATATATAAATAACCATTACTTATTCTAGGTAGGTAACTAATCATCAATGAATGCAGGCACTAACCTCACAAAACAGTAGTTTACTGAAAGAAATACATGTACTTTACAATGTGTATCATAACCTTCAGAATCAATACATGTTATGCTAAAATACAGAAACAGCTACACTAGATTTTGATCAACTGCTGCCATGTATCATGTTGAGTATGATTACTTACTTCTACATAGTTAGAGGTACAGACACACAAACAAACTAAAATAAGATGCAAGTTAGAAATGTTAGCTAACACAAAATTTACCATTTTTACATTACTAGAAGCTGGGTTTTTATTGGTTGATGTGTAAGCACTGAAAAATAGGAAACAGGTTTGAAGACTAACACTCATATATCTTCAAAGATTATTGGATTAGAGTAAAATCATAAATAATATTCAACGTTAAACTGGTACACAATTAAAAACATTTTATTTAGGCCTATCTATGGTCTTCAAAAAGTTGACGATTCTACGTGTTTTGACATTACACTCCTGAGGATGACGTTGTAACGTCGAAACATGTAGAGTCGTCAACTTTTTGAAGACCATAGATAGG